ATTGCAAAATTTCCTCCATCTTCCGCTGAAGGCTGTCGTGATGTCTAAGATAAGAATGTTACATGATATTATCAAGCTAACCGTAAGACGTTTTATACAATTTGAACTGAGAGCAGCAGACACTTTCCCTTCTCAGCTGGAACTGGCAAAGTGTATCTGCAAGTCCACTGCCCTTCCAGCCCAGGACAAGGGACAGTTGCCATCTTCCACTCAACAAGGCTAACCCCGGAAACTGTCTCTATTGAAGACACCACATTCAGCTGCATGGAGAGGAAGTCCATGGTATCTCAGGAAGGGGGCTTTGATGCTTGAAAGCTCCAACCCTGGAACTCTTGATGGTTTCTAAGGGGCTCCGGAACTCAGATCTAGATGTTCTAATGCAGACCAACTAATGGCTACCCTCTGAAACTGTCTTCCAATCACCATATCTGAAGAAAGCTGATCCCTCACAGGTATGTGTACATTTCAATTTGGGCTGGGTCATTCTCTGGGGGGCAGGAAATGCATTTTGCACATTGTCAGTCATCTGATTCACAGGGGGTCTTCAAGAAAAAAAACAAGAAGAGAAGAGATTGGATTTATACCCTGCCCTTCACTACCCAAAGGAGAGCGGCTTACAAACGCCTTTCCCTTCCCCTCCCCACAACAGACACCCTGTGAGGTAGATGGGGCTGAGAGAGCGCTTGACGGAAACTGCTCTTTTTCAAGAACAGCTCTTATCAGAACTACGGCTTGCCCAAGGTCATCCAACCAGGTGCAAGTGGAGGAGTGGGGAATCAAACCCGGTTCTCCCAGATTAGAGTTCATGCACTTAACCACTGCGCCAAACTGTAGGAGGTGGTTTTCAATGGAGATGCCAGAGTATAACCAAGCATCTCTGGGAATCATGGAGAGTCCTTGTCAGTTGGAAGAAACTAGACTGGACTGTCTTATGGACTGTTGCACTCAGCATAAGGCAGCTTCATACGTTCATGTGGTGTAGTGGTTAAGAGTGTTGTTGGACCAGTATCTGGGAGCCCCAGGTTCAAATCCCCACTCATGCCATGGAAACTCACTGGGTGACCTTCGGCCAGTCATGTTCGCTAACCCTGACGTACCTCACAGGGTTGTTGTGAGGATTAAATCGAGAAGAGGAGAATGAGGTTAGCCACTTTGGGTCCCCATTGGGGAGAAATGAGGGTTGAAAATAAATTAAATAAAATGAATGTGTGAAAACTGATCCATGGTTACCCTTGAAAAACTCTTTATCCTAATTGGTTGGATGTTTAAAATAAAGGGAATGTACATGCCTGGATTTGAGTCCACAAAACCAAAAGGACCCACGGTAAGTAGGAAAACCAACATACAACAAGTACCGTGCACAGATTATTATAACATATCATAAACAATTTTAATAATAATATATTTTAATTGGTTGGATGTTTAAAATAAAGGGAATGTACATGCCTGGATTTGAGTCCACAAAACCAAAAGGACCCACGGTAAGTAGGAAAACCAACATACAACAAGTACCGTGCACAGATTATTATAACATATCATAAACAATTTTAATAATAATATATTATTATTAT